CAGGACGCGCGCTCAGGGGTGCGCCGGTTCCCCGCGGGGCAGGCCTCGGCCCGGGCGCCCGCGAAGATGGAGCCGCACGGCGCGGAGCCGCCGGAGCCTCTGGGGGCTGCGGGACGGGAAGAAGCCGCGGAAGTCCGAAGAGGCGCCAAGAGGCCGAGCCACGGGCAAGGAACTACGCGGGACCAAGAAATCGGCCGGCTGAGAGCAGCGGAAAAGGCTCGAGAGGCCGGAAGTGGCGCTAAGCTCTGACCGGAAGGGGCGGGGCCTAGGCACCTGCCAGAGCGACCCGGCTGCGTTCTCCGGAGACGTCGGAGCGCGTACGTGGAAGCCTGCGAGGCCGCCAGCGTGTCCGGGACGAGGGGAGGAGTCAGAGCCCTGAGCGGGAGGCGGGGGGAGGTGCCGAGAGAAGGGGCGGGGAGGCAGGTGGGGCCTACTACTGGACGGGGCGGGGTCTCCCACTGGGCGGGGCCTGTAGCCAGGACCCGAGGGCTTCCAGGCCTGAGGATTTTCCGTGGCCTTGGGTTGTTTTTTTTAAATTTTAAAAAAATTTTTTGGGTTTGGCTTTTTTTCTGGTACCGGTTCCGTGGGCTTTGTCCGCGAAGAGCTAAGCGGAGGCGGAGCTTGGAAGCAGGAACGATGGCTCCGCTTTGCTCCAAGGGAATTAAGCTCTTGTAGGTAGAGCGCTCTGCAATTTTCAAATAAATACTTGGCAAAGCGTGCAGGTTCTGGGAGCAGACCGCCAGAGTTCTGATCCCTGACCTGTTGCCTCTTGACCACCCGTCTTTGCATCTCTAGAAAGTACCTTTCATACGTAATCCTTACAAGGTTTCATTATTTGGAAAAAGAATCTAGAAGAGTAGTTTGCACATGGTAAGCACTACATAATCCTTTTATTAACTACAAATATCGACTGAGCATTCTTTATCATCAAGCTTATTCCACCCTTCAGAAAAAGAAAATCCCTATTAAGCACTTACTATGCCTGCCTTACTGATGAGGTAGTTAAGGATCAAAAAGGTTTAGTAACTTTGATCGCACCACTAGTTTGTGTTGGATTGCTTAAAAGTAATAGTAGGTAGTGGTAGCTAGTGGTGGTGTTTTCTAAAGGGCACTGTGTTTTCGCGTGGGTGTAACACTGGACAGGAGAGCAGCGCATGGCCTGACCATCATGGAGCTGCAGAACACATTCACAGAAAAACAGTTCCAAGCCCTGAACCTGGGACAATCCAGAAAGTGCTATTTTCAGTTTTTCTGATGCGAAATCAAGGTTTTTGATAAGATGGCCTACATCAGGCCTCAGCATACAGAATGAAGGGATAAACAAAGAAAAGTATGCAAACAAGATAATTTGTTCCTAGGTAGTCAGGTGTGTGGAAGGCTAGCCCAGGCAGGACTATTATATCTCTCATGATTTAGTGCAGGTCATCCTCCCTTTTAAGCTGGCTGCCGCTCCTACATCACCCGGCTCTCCATCCTGTGCTGCTGCTTTACTTTTCTCCATACTCTACTTTCACAACTCAGTTGCTGGCTGCTTGAAGCCTATTCTCCAAGTGTTAGGATAAATGTTGCTTCCAGGCTGGGAGGTCAGTGGTAGAATAGCAGGAGATTAGGTTTTAGCAGGCCTTTGGGCAACTGGGTATAAGCTGTCAATCAAGGAGATCCAGAACATGTGCTGAAAAGCAGTTCCCACGCCCTGTACCTGTGACTAACCAGAACACCTATCTTCAGTTCTTCTGGTGAAAGTCAATCACCTTTGATATAAAGCACCTTTGATTAGCACCTTTGAAGAGCCCAGCTCTGATGTCAGCCTAGACCTAAAGAATGGGAGGGCCGGGATGACAAAAGATGTCAGCCAGTAATCTTGTGGCCACCGTGCTTTCTCTTTCTCAGCAGTCAGCTCTCACTCTGCAAAACATATTTCTATTCCTACCATAATAAATGTAAAATCTTGCTGCCCTTTGTACATGTTTTGTCCAATGTAAAATCCTGCTACCCTTTTTCTCTCATTTTTTTATTTTAAAGAGAAAAAGACAACAAGATAACAAAGACAAAAACAATACAACAAAAAACAATGAAAACAATACAGAATTTCAAAACAAGATGATAGGAAATT